AAACTCCAAATTAATTCAATTTGTATTCATGGAGACACTTTTTTTGATTTATAATAAAATTTAATTATTATTCGATCAAATTAGTCCTAAAAATTGATTGACAGGTTATAAAATAAAAGAAATCTATTTTACCGACGCTTATTTTATTTTGCAATAAATTAATATAAAATAATGATTAATTACGAATTTTATTAATTTTTAAACAATTTAATTATTAATAAATGAGTAATAAGAAAGATGAAATTATTTACTTGTATTCCTTGGGAAAATAGATTTTTTGAGGTTATGTCGAATTGTCAAATTATAACAATTTTAATTAACAAATTAAAATAAATTCAACAAAATTCATTTATTCGGACAAGTGGGGTGAGCGTAACCTAAAAAGTTTCCAAAATTAAGATTGAATCATTAAAATCATCTCACCTTCTTATTAACAAATCGTACATTTACATTTCATTTTTGCTTTATTATCATAATAAGGAGTTTTTTCTTTTATTTTTGAGCCGTCTACTTTTATAATTATTACCACATCCTCCTCCACGATCATCCCAACATCATCACTCATTTGATGATTAAATTACTTTTTTTTAGGATTATTATTGTCTCTGTATCGAGTGTTGTTTCCAATGAAATATTTTGTTAAATTGGTCCAATCTTCTTCGGAGAGTTTTCGTTTCTCATCCACTTTCTGATTAAGAATTTATTTGGAATAATTTTTAGGTTATGTTTATTTGACTTACGTTTTTTTTATAAGATATAATGCTTTTAAATCAATAAATGTAGCGTTTTTGCGTGGGGAAACTCCAAATTAATTCAATTTGTATTCATGGAGACACTTTTTTTGATTTATAATAAAATTCAATTATTATTCGATCAAATTAGTCCTAAAAATTGATTGACAGGTTATAAAATAAAAGAAATCTATTTTACCGACGCTTATTTTATTTTGCAATAAATTATTGATTATTAATATAAAATAATGATTAATTACGAATTTTATTAATTTTTAAACAATTTAATTATTAATAAATGAGTAATAAGAAAGATGAAATTATTTACTTGTATTCCTTGGGAAAATAGATTTTTTGAGGTAATGTCGAATTGTCAAATTATAACAATTTTAATTAACAAATTAAAATAAATTCAACAAAATTCATTTATTCGGACAAGTGGGGCGAGTGTAACCTAAAAAGTTTCCAAAATTAAGATTGAATCATTAACATCATCTCACCCTATTATTGACAAATCGTACATTTACATTTCATTTTTGCTTTATTATCATAATAAGGAGTTTTTTCTTTTATTTTTGAGCCGTCTACTTTTATAATTATTACCACATCCTCCTCCACGATCATCTCAACATCATCACTCATTTGATGATTAAATTACTTTTTTTTAGGATTATTATTGTGTCTCTGATCAAGTGTTGTTTCCAATGAAATATTTTGTTAAATTGGTCCAATCTTCTTCGGACAGTTTTCGTTTCTCATTCATTTTCTGATTAAGAATTTATTTGGATTGATTTTTAGGTTATGTTTACTTGACTTACGTTTTTTTTATAAGATATGCTGGTTTTAAATCAATAAATGTAGCGTTTTTGCGTAGGGAAACTCCAAATTAATTCAATTTGTATTCATGGAGACACTTTTTTTGATTTATAATAAAATTTAATTATTATTCGATCAAATTAGTCCTAAAAATTGATTGACAGGTTATAAAATAAAAGAAATCTATTTTACCGACGCTTATTTTATTTTGCAATAAATTATTGATTATTAATATAAAATAATGATTAATTACGAATTTTATTAATTTTATTAACAATTTCATTATTAATAAATGAGTAATAAGAAAGATGAAATTATTTACTTGTATTCCTTGGGAAAATAGATTTTTTGGGGTTATGTTGAATTGTCAAATTATAACAATTTTAATTAACAAATTAAAATAAATTCAACAAAATTCATTTATTCGGACAAATGGGGCGAGTGTAACTTAAAAAGTTTCCAAAATTAAGATTGAATCATTAAAATCATCTCACCTTCTTATTGACAAATCGTACATTTACATTTCATTTTTGCTTTATTATCATAATAAGGAGTTTTTTCTTTTATTTTTGAGCCGTCTACTTTTATAATTATTACCACATCCTCCTCCACGATCATCCCAACATCATCACTCATTTGATGATTAAATTACTTTTTTTTAGGATTATTATTGTGTCTCTGTATCGAGTGTTGTTTCCAATGAAATATTTTGTTAAATTTGTCAAATCTTCTTCGGAAAGTTTTCGTTTCTCATCCATTTTCTGATTAAGAATTTATTTGGATAAATTTTTAGGTTATGTTTACTTGACTTACGTTTTTTTATAAGATATGCTGGTTTTAAAGCAATAAATGTAGCGTTTTTGCGTGGGGAAACTCCAAATTGATTCAATTTGTATTCATGGAGACACTTTTTTTGATTTATAATAAAATTTAATTATTATTCGATCAAATTCGTCCTAAAAATTGATTGACAGGTTATAAGATAAAAGAAATCTATTTTACCGACGCTTATTTTATTTTGCAATAAATTATTGATTATTAATATAAAATAATGATTAATTACGAATTTTATTAATT